GAAGGCACAGGCTACATACATCTGGATTTTTCTGTTTCCCCCATTGGCACCCACTGCCTTAGTGCAGTGCTTGGATGGAACAGGACAAGCATTTGCTGTCCTGCTATGTGCTCCTGTACTAGATACTGGTAAAAAGAGAAAATAAAAAAGACAATGTATTTTTCTAATTAAATTCCAATCTATCTTTCTAGATAGATTTCAGATCTCTCCCTCTCATGTATTTCAAGTTCCAGCAAAATCGACCTGTTGGCTATTAACCTGTAGCAAAATAAAAAAAAAATCTCATCTCCTGACCCCATGCTTTTGTACTAGCTAGCATACTCTTCCACCTCACCTCTGACTCTCAGAGTTCCCTGTTTCCTTCACAACTCTGGTCCAAGGCCCTCTTCTCCAAGAAGCCCTTCCTGCTAGTGCCTTTTCCCTGAAATTTTGCACAGATTGCCTCTGGAGCCTGGAGTGTTCTTCCTTCTCACCTGCCCCCTTAAAATCCAGAGATACTTTCAAGGCTAGTGTCCCCACAGGAAGCCTCTCCTGACCTAAGTTGTAAGTGCCACCCCAGAGGAGTTACATGTGTATATATACATACATACATATATATATATATATATATATATATATATATATATATATATATATATATATATATATATATATATATATATATGTATATACATATATATATGCATTTATAGACACATATAATATGTACATATACACACATGTGTGTATACATGTAGGTAGATAGATTTATCTGTATATATGTTGTATGAACACAATGTAAATTCCCTGAGGACAGGGCAGTTTCATTTCTCTTTGCATACAGATCCTGGTATATAATACGTGCTTTTTAAATTTAATTATTTCATTGATAGTAATGATGAGTTAGCATTTAAAGGGATCTTTAAGGTTTGCAAAGCATTATATATTTGTATGTATATATATGTATGTATGTACATTCTCTCTTTTGATCCTCACAATAACACTGAGAAGTAGTATTGTTATACTCATTTTACAGGTGAGGAAAGTGAGGCTGGGAGGTTAAGTGACTTGCCCAGGGTCACACTGCTGGTAGTTGTCTGAGGCTGGAATGGAACTCAGATCTTCCTGACTCCAGACCCAACCCTCTATCTATAACCAGAGTATCAAAGATTTAGAGGAATGGGGGCCAATCCTCCCATTTTTATAGATGAAGAATGTGAGGACTTGACTGGGGTCACCAAAGTCCTAAGGATCTGAGGCAGGCTCTTTAGTTCTTCAGTCTGCACCCAGCACAGCCTTTTAAAGGAAAGTTTCTTCCTTCCTTAAGTAAAAAGAGCACTTACCAAGAATGAATGGGCAGAAGAGGAAGTGATAAATTCTTAAACACACACACACACACACACACACACACACACACACACACACACACGTCTACATTAAAGAATCACTGGGAGTATTGGACTGCAGGCCTAATTATATCAGCCAAAAGCAGTTACCTTCCCACAATTTCCCTAAACTCTCACCCCTCAAAATTTTTTTTTTATTCTAACGCCACATTCCACCACCCTGATTTTCTCCCAAGCTAAGAGCCCATAGAATAGTTTATGGCTAAGAGTAAATCCATTCCCCACTGAGAGTGAAAGCTTCATCTTCATCTTCATCATCATCATCGTCTTCATAATCCTCATCTTAAAGATTTAAATATTTATGGTATCGTGGACAAAAACAAAAGAAATAAGCATTGATACAGTACCTACCATATGTGCTAGGTATTGTACTAAGCATTTTTTTAATATCTCATTTAATCTTTACAATAATTGTTTGAAGTAGGTGCTATTATGATCCTCATTTTACAGCTGAGGAAACTGAGGCTGACTGAGGCTGCGTGACTCACCCAAGGGCACAAAGTTACTTAGTTTCTGGGGCAGGATTTGTACTGGTCTTCCTGACTCCAGGTTCAGCACTCTATCCATTGCACCACCAAGCTGCCTGAAAGTTTAGGGCGCTAGACTTGGAGTCAGGAAGACCTAGGTTCAAATCCCACCTCAGACCCTAACTAGCTGTATCACCCTAGGCTGATGACTTAACCTTGCTGTTTCTGTTTCTCACTTCTGTAAAATGAAAGGATTGAAATCCATGGCTTCTATGCTCTCTTCTAGCTCTAAATATATGACCTTATGATGAGAAGAGTTTTCAAAAGAATTCAAAGCTAGCAATAATCATTTATTAAATACTCCAAGAAATTAATAGGAGAAATGCAAATGAGTGCAACCCTAAGGCTTTTACCTCATAACCATCAGATTGGTGAAGGCGACCAAATAAATGAGAATAGTCAATGTTGGACAATGAGTCCAATGCTGACAATAGCAAATGTGAGAAGCCAGGAGGCAAACTAATATACTGTTAGCAAAGCTGAGTCAGTCCAACTGATCTGGAAAACAATTTGGAATTAAGAGTGAACAGTTACTAAATGGGTCATTCCCTTTGACCCAACGATCCTACTACTATACCCCCAAGGAGGTCACAAATGGCAGCAAAGGTCCCCCATATGCCCCCCAAAATTTTATAACAGCATTTTTTGTGTTAGTAAAAAAAAATCAAACATGGAGATCAAATGGTTGCCCACAGACTGGGGAAGAGAAGATGATGGCTGCCCCATCAGAAATATCTCAATATAGGGGCTAGAATGCTGAATTACAGTCTGGAAGACCTGGGCTCAGCTCTTATCTCACACAACTATTGCTTTGGCTGTGTGACCCTTGGTAAATCAAATCACTGAACCTGTCTGGGCCTCATTTTCCTCACCTCCAAAATGAGAGAGATTCCAGGACCTCTACATCCAAGGCTCTCATTTAACCACTAAATCTATGATCATATGAAATTACCAATATGAGAAACCAGGGAAGACTTGTGGGAATGAATATGACTGGAACAAAATGAAGGGAAGAATACCAGAGCAATATATATATATATATATACACACACACACACACATACACACATGTGTGTAACACATATGTACATGTATACATGCACACATGTATATGTAAATATAAACACATAGATTTTTTTTAACCACAATCTTGAAAAAGAAATCTAGGTGGTGGTGGATAATGTCCTGAGTCTGGAGTGAGGAAGACTTGATTTCAAGTCTACTTATTAGCTGTGTGACCCTGAGCAAGTCACTTGACCCTATTTGCCTCAGTTTCCTATCAGTAAAATCTGAGCTATAGAATGAAATGGCAAATCACTCCAGTAGCTTTGCCAAGAAAACCCCAAATGGGTTGGACAGGACTGGAAAAAAAAACTGAACAAAAGACAAGGGGGATTTGGAAGAATGTAATGACCAATGTTGATTTCAGAAGACTCCACCACCTGGGGCAAGTCTCTGCTCCCAGAGCCTTAGTTTCTTCTTTAAAACGAAAGAGTTCAGACTAGATAACATCTTAGGTGGCTTTCAGCTTTATGATGCTCAGACTGTCTCAATAGAGGGTGAAAGAACCGTCCCAGAGGGAGGGAGTAAACAAGTTTTGTTTAACTGTTTCTCTTTGTTAAAAGGGGGAAGGGGGAAAGAAGTTTCCAGCAAGTGACAAAGATTTAAGAAACAAAAGTATGAAGTCGTTCACTTTTTTCCTTTTTCTTTAAAGATCAAATCCACACCTGGAAGAGATGAGGGAGAGCTTAGGTGTTCATTCCCACTGTTTGTGAGCCTGTGATGCAGTCAGAGTTCAGAGGGTGCTGTGAATCTCCACTCTCTGCACACAACAGCTAAGATAAGCATATGTGTTCAGATATGTTTGGGTCGGTAAATGCTGGTCAAGGCTGACTTAGAATCAGGACTCCGGTGCCCAGTCACACGCTCTCCACACCCCACACACACTTCCTGTCTCTCTCATTACCTCCCTCGGTTTTCCAGGCTCACTAATAAATCCCCTTAAGAGAAATTCTCTTAACTACATCCCAAACTCCCGGAGGAGCCCCCTCGCTGTACATTTCTAAACCTCGGGTCCACGAACTTTATTAAAAAACAAAACAAAACAAAAACAAAACACGATGTATTTTGACAACTGTATTTCAGCATAAACAGTTTCCTTTGTGACACAGTGTATTTTACTTTATGCATTTCAAAAAAAAAAAAAAAGGCTGAGGAGTCCATAGGCTTCACTAGGCTGCCAAAGAGGACCAGGACCCATAAACGCCCAAGAACCCCTGACTAAAGGAGTGTAATTTTCCAAACCCAAATCCCCAACTCCAAGGGGATTAAAAGCAAAGCCGGGACTGTGCTGAAAACTAGAAAGCCTCCTGAAAGCTGGGACACATGATCCTACTTCAAACATGCCAAGCTCAGTCACTGATAGTCGCGTGGTTAACACCGAACAGGTGAGGGCAGCTTAATAGGCGGACTCCAGGGTTGTGGAGGAGGGGAATCCTCCTTGGCCCAGTGGAGTCAGAGGATCTAGATTCGAATTCTCCCTGGGACTCTTACTGCTAGCTAGTTTGGGAGCTTGGGAATGGCCCCCCAATTGACTTTCCTTATCTGTACGATGAAAGGGTCGGCCTGCTTGGTCCCTAAGGGCCCTTCCAGCTCATATGATCATATGAACCCCAGCTACGTTCTGGAACTCAAGCTCCAAGTGTGCTCTCCCCAAGCCATCGGCAACACTGCCCTCCCCTGGGCCACTGGGAGCAGGGAACTCAGGTCCAGAACCCGGACTGTCCAACCCCTGAAGAATGAAGCCGGGTCTGTTCTTCTCAACATCTCGCTAGCCCGGGGCGATCCACTCTAGTCGGTTCAAGCTTGCAAAAGCCGCTGTCCGCAACCGGAACTGCGCTCGCCCCGAAAGGACCCAAGCCTACAAGTCTGCTCTCCTCAAGCCATCAGCAGCACCCTCCTCCCCCGAGGGTCTGCAGACTCGGTAGCTAGGAGCTTCGTTCGGCTGCTCCAGGATCTCCCCTCCTACCCCGCCCCGCGCGCCTCGCGATCTCCGGGGAGCCCACGAGCTCGCGGATCACTCACTCACCGACTCCGTATTTCTGTCTTTTGGTGGGGAACCAGCGAGCCATGGCGTGGGGTGGGGGGCTGCGCCGCTTCCTCTGAGCGCCCCTAGTCCTCGGAGAGCAGATCCAGCCGCCGCCGCTGCTGCTGCCTCCGGCCGCCCGCCAAACTCGCCGGGGCCCCCGGCTCTGCCGCCATGTTCCCGGCCACCCGGGGAGCTCTGGAGGCAAACTTTGCTCGCTCGCTCTGCCTCGAGCCAACTTTCTGGGTCGCGTCCCTCCTCCGCCCTCCCGCCCTCGGTCCGATCGGCCGGTCGGTTAGTCTGTGTGTAGGTTTGTCTCTCGGTGCCTCCCTCCTGGTCGGCCAGACCGTTGCCTGCCTGCCGCCGGAGCGCCCCGGGGCCACCCCCAGGGTCACCTGCTGGCTAGTGCCGCAGCCACTCCTTGGCCCCACCCCCAGCAGCCGGACGGGTGGGGGGCCGGGCACCTCCCTCTTTCCCTCTCTGCTTGCCCCGAGCAGCGGACACGCCTCCCACCCAGCCGCCCCACCCAGCTCCTGGACCGGCCTGCCCTCCCGGAGCCGGGGTGGGGCGCCCCCCGACCACACCCCGCGGGGCGGCCGCAGCTGAAGCTCGAGCAGCCCAGCCTCCTCAGCCCGCCTTGCCCACTCCCCACCGGTCCTCTCTTCCGCCCCTGAGGCTCTCCCCTTCTTGTCCTCTGCCCCCGCGGGTTCTCCCTCTCTCCACTAGCTCCCCCAGCTTTCCTCTGCTTGCCCCGCATCAATCCTGCTCTGTCTTTTCCTACTGAACTCACTCTCTCTCTCTCTCTCCCCTGCCTGGATCACAGCCCTTCCCCACCGGCCGGAGTAGAACTAAGATTTCTAGCTGGCTCTTTGCTTTTTCCTTCCCCCCCCCCCGACCTTCCCCAACCAGATTCCTCTCCAGCTGCTGCTGCTGCTGTTGCTGCTGCTGCGGCCCTTCCCGGCCCCAGCTGGGGGAGGTGGGTTGAGAGGAACCCGAGCTAGACCTTTGGTCAGAAAGCAAAAACCACCCGAGAACTCTAGATGGGGGAGGGGCTTGTCGAAGTAGGGTCCAGCGCATCACTACGGGGTCCTAAATCGTAGCCTTCGGCCCTGCGTCGGACGAACACACAGGAAAATTCAAGCCAGTGTTAGTGCTAACGTGCGCAGGAGCGAGGCCACACTGCCTCCTAGGGCCCTCCTAGGTCTCACAAAGCGGGACGTTGTTAGTCCATCCTCGGGATGGGAAAACTGAGGCACTGGAAGACATCCCTTTAACAGGCATTTACGAAGCGCTAGAGTTGGACTAAACTCTGGAGACTTAACGTTCTCTACCAAGGTACTCAGTTTCCTTGCATATTAGCGTTTGCAACCTCCTAAGATCCTTCCGGGAACTCGGAGACGTGGAAAGCAGTTGATAACAGCCTTGTGATAGTGCTTGTATTCTCTTGAGTTTCTAGATAAAGAAACTGAGGCTTAGAGGTTTTCTTTTGTATTTGCTTATCTTCGTGCACGTCGTCCCATCCTCCTGAATGTCAGCTTCTTGAGGGCCGGAACTGTATGGTTTTTGTGTTTCAAGCCCCAGCCCCTAAGGTCGGATCTGGTTGGGTTCAGTAAATGCACTTTACTTCTTCGTTCGTTCGTCCGTTTGTTTCTTGGTGACCCTCAAGACCCGCTGTCCTTCCCACGGACAACTCCATAAGAGCTCTGCGGATTACTGCTGAAAAAACTCTGAAAGGCGGTAGGAAAAGTTTACATCCTAAGATCGAGATAAGGGTGCGTGCCCTTGGATAGATTATAGTATATCTTTAGGACTGAAAGTTATCTTAGAGAGCATCTAGTCTGATCCCCTTATTTTACACACGAGGAAACTGAGTCCCGCCTTTGGTTAAGTGACTAGCTCAAGATCACGCGGGTAGTAGAGTGAGAAATCTAAAACTCTGAATTCATATTCCACTCTCCTTTTTTCTACATCGTGGGCCATCACAGACATGAATAATCTCTCTTCCCACCCCACCCCCCTTCCGCCCCAAGGACTTCGATTTACCAAGAAAGGAAAAGGGGCCCGACACTTCTTCCTTTACTTTACTAATACAGTTGACAAGGTCTCAGGGTGCAAATTCTCCAAAGGAATTTTCTTCTGCTATAGCTGGTCTTTCCTGGATAACCCCTGGGCTCGAAGGTCACCATCCCCTGGCAAATAGAGGGCTGCCTAATCTTAGTATTAGGCAAGCATCTGAGCCCACTTTGCCCAGCTCCCACTATCCCTTCAAGGAGGGTGGTCTGCTTCCTTTCAGTCCATGCCTAAAAGGATGAATTGTCCTTGTAATCCATAGAGATTTCTTCCTTGTCTGAGAGACAAAAAAGAGAGTATAGTAAAATATGGGGAAATGGGGTCAGAGAGGTTAAAGTACATCATCCAATCCGAGAGGCTTTGAAAAAGCAGAACAGAAAGTCAGGAATCCCTCTATCTCAGGGCAGAACTGAGCCCCAGCCCCCTCACCCCCAGTTGTAAATTCACAAAGGTTTAGTGAGATGAGAAGTCGACTTGACTCAGAAGATGCACAATTTACTAGATACCTCACCCTGGGCAAATCACTTTCTCAAGGTCTCAGTTTAGTCACTGGCAAAATGGGTGGGTTGGCCTAGATCAGAGATAACAAAGCCTCATACAGTCCATAAAACTCCCAATAGGGGCCCAAACCAGGTTAAAATGTAATTCCTTTCTGCTTTTAATGTGGTTTAATGTGAAGCTCGTAGGGATGCTTATGTTCAGTTTTGTGGCCCCTCCATTTCTATTTGAGTTTGACACAACTGGGCTGAAGTACTCAAGACCCCTACCAGCTCTAAATCTATCATCCTATAAGCTGTTAATGTTCCTGTTAGTGCTGACATTCTAGGATATTATAATCAGCAAACAATAAATATTCTTAGCTACTAGCACCAGGCCTGGAATCAAGAAGTACTGAGTTCAAATTTGGCATCAGATATTTACTAGCTGTATGACCCTGGGCAAGTCACTTAACCCTGTTTGCCTCAGTTTCCTCATCTGTCAAATGAGCTGGAGAAGGAAATGACAAGCCACTTCAGTATCTTTGCCAAGAAAACCCCAAATGGGGTCCCAGAGAGGTGGACAGGATTGAACAACAACACACTTGCTAATAGTCATCCCAGCATCATGATACAGCCATGGGGCTTCTCTTTTGATTCCCTCAGATACCTCTCACTCTGATCCTTTCTCATTCCTGTCCTCCTCACCTCTCTCTCTTGTGGTTCTCTGCTACTTTGGAACTTGTCCTTGCTCTTAGAGGGATTGGGTTCAGATCCCTCCTCTTTGTACTCCCTGTGGGACCTTAGGCAAGGTGTTCTACCTTCCCTAGCCTCAACATCTTTGAAATGAGGGGGTTGGAACTCTGAAGTCCCTCATACTGTGATTTTAATATTGCTTTGTTCAGTTGTGTCCAACTTTCTAGAATCCCATTTAGTTTGCCATTTCCTTCTCCAGCTCATTTTACAGATGAGGAACTGAAGGGTCAAGTGACTTGTCCAGGGCCACGTAACTAGCAAGTGTGTCTGAGGCCAGATTTGAATTCAGGTCCTCCTGCCACAAGCTGCCCTATTGCTTTAAAGTTGGCCAAATGAGGAAACCTTTTGGGGCAGCAGCAATGGACCCTAGAGCCTCCAATGAGATAATATTTATAAAGACCTAGGCACAGAGTAGGTATTTAATAAATATTTATTTCCTTCACTTTCTACCTCCAAAGCCTTCATTTTGGGCTCATGCCTCATCACCTCTTCCATCCAAGCTCTGGGCCAATTCTAAGCTCTCCCAAATTCATCCCTTCCTTACTACTAGCGTTGCTGCTGTCCCCAAAAGGTTTCCTCATCACACATCAGTAGTACTACCATCATAATAATACCTGGTATTTATGTTGCATTTTAAAGTTTGCAAAGTACTTGATACATTTCAACCCATCTGATTGTCCCACAACATTCCTGTGAGAAAGGTGCTATTGTTATCCTCATTTTACAGATGGGGAAACTGAAGCTGGGAAGTTAGGTGACTTGTCCAGGCTAATAAGTAGAGGCTGTACCAAAAGTGTTAGTGTAATTTAAACTATTATGGTGTTAAACTTCACTAAGACTTTAGGGACACCCTTTATATTGAGGCAGGATTTCAACTTGGGTATTTCTAACTGCAAGTACCACCTGGCTGCTTCCATAACTACTAACAGGTTCTCTTTCTGCCTCCAGCCCGTCCCTTGCATATTTCCCTAGAATGACTCCCTAGTTCTACAGACCTTTGACATCTGCAAAGCCTTCATTTTTTTATTTGATCCTCATAACAACTCAATAAGCTTATTTTTTTTTTCAGATAAGGAAACTGACACTCACTTGGAGAGGTCAAATGACTTAAGAAATTGCTGGTAAGTAGTAGTGGTAGGATCTAAGTTCCAGGAGTGGGGATTCAGTCAAATGGATTCAGTCAAAGGGCTACACTTTGAGGACCTAGAGAGCCACATGTTGTCTCGAGGCCAAAGGTTCCCCACCCCATCACCACCCCTGATTCTAAACCTAAGTCATACTGGGCTTCAAGCCCATCTTACTTTCTCCTGCAGCATGCTATTAACTAACTTTCCAGGTTAAGTATTTCCGATGACTTTTGTTACTCCCTGTATTAAATCTGGATCATGTGTTTGATATTCAAGCCTGTGCCGCCTAAATCTAGGTCCCTGGCTCTGTGCCCTAGGCTCAGTCAACTTTTAAGATCAAGCCTTCTATTCTGTCCCAGGCTGGTCTCACTTCCCTACCCTCCAATCCTTCACAGCATTAATTGCCTTTGAACATGATAATTTACCAGCTTGGAATGTGTTCCCAACCACACATTTGACATTATGGACCACCTTTTCCTTCTTGATCTTTTCTAGGCATCCTTGACTCAACACTCTGATGGTGCTTCTACCTCCCTGACCATTCAGCCTCATTTATTGACTTCTTCTACCCTTTAAACATAGTTGTCTTAGAAAGTTCTATCCATGGTCTTTTTCTTGCTCTATGTTTTCTCCCTCAGTGATCTCA